TTAATAATACCCGATTCATTTGTCCAAATTTTTTTTGGAAAATCATTTCTCATAAATACTCCTCTGAAATGTTGAATATTCAATATTTTAACATATTTTATTAAATCGATATTGGTTAATGGACGTTGTGGTAATTTTATTTTTCGTCCATTAACTTTTGTCGTTATAAAAAAAGACCCAGTCCTGATTTGTAGGGTTTCAAATAGAGTCCTTTACCAATTGCAATAGATTCCATTGTTTTGTTATGACGATGAGATTCCAGCAATTGTTCTTTCGCAGCTTTAGCATCACCCACTGCTTTCGCAATTGACGCAGTCAAGGCTCCAAGGGCACTTAGTCCAGCAAAAATTGGTATTAACGGTAGTATTCCACCTGTTTTGGGAACTTTGATGACTCGTGGTTTTGATATTTTCTTATTAAATGACTTTAAAACTTTTAACGCTAATTGAATAGCTTAGCCCAGAGTTTGTGGTTTACTAATTAAAAGTTGTTTTTTTATCTTTTGAATAGCTTTTGATAGAGTTATCGTTTTGAGTTTTTTTGATTTTTTCACATTAATTTTTCTTTTTGACTGTTTCCTTTTTGACTTACTTTTTTTTGTAGATGACATTTTGATTATTTTTTGTTCTGTTGACAATAATCAGAGAGAGACTGATCAAACAATTTGGATGCTTGCATATTTATATATTTTTGATTTTTTTACCATTTTCTTCGTTGATACTACTCTCTTCAAATTTTCGTTTTTTGTTTTTTCAACGATAAACCATCATCATCGTCATCATTATCCATAATACTGTTACTTAGTTTTCTCTTTATAAGTTTTTGTCGTTTTGGGTTTAAATCTTCACTCTCTTTTATTTCTAAAGGAATAGATATTTTTGTCATTGGATAATCATCAGCAATATCAATATCCATCTTTTCTTGTTATTTAATTTTTCGTGCTCTTACTTTGCTGTCTTGTTGTTTTTTAACCTAGCTTTATGTTGTAACCGTTTTTTATTTGATGTTTCCGAATTAGTAGTGATTGGATTTCCTTGTAAAATTGTAATACAATAATTTATACCATCTGTTACTTTTTTCACTTTATTCAATTCCTTATTACAATTTTTTATCGACATCTTATAATTTTTAGGTTTCAATCCTAGTCCTAATTTAACTTTTGCTTTCATTACACCAGCAACACCAAGAGCGGACAGCTTTTCTAAAAATGCTGTATTTTTTGATCGGAATTGACTCATTGCTTTCTCAGCTAAAATTTTATCAGCTTCATGTCGTTTTTTAACATTCTTTTCTTGAGAATAGGCTATATCATGTTCACGACAGGCTTCATCTAAACCATTTATACCTCTATCACCTCGAGATAATCGTTTTTGTAACTTTGTTCCAGGTCCACAATATCTATAACCAGGAATATGTAATTCAATAGGTAACTCCATTTTGATTTTTCGGTGGAAGAGGTTTAAAAAAAAACTTCCACAAGTTTTTACACAAAATTTTATCTGCAGAAATGTTTTTATGCACCTTTAGTTAAGAAAATCTGTTTGGAGCTTCTGACGACGAAAATCACTAAAGTTTGGTATAACTAGGCGATGGAATCCTATTTTACACTACACAGTGAGGACAGGTATCACCAAAACTGTTTTATAAAATTTCCATGTCCATTGTATTGGATAACTACTAATTAAGTGTGTTTTTATCATAACAAACACAAGAACTTTATTTGTCACTATTTCTTTTTCAACAAAGACTGAATTTTTCACCCTGTGTATATAAAAAACTTTTAATTTTAACTCATTAATTTTTATTTAATCTATAACATATATTTTTCTTCTATTTTAATAACAATTATTCTTAAATTCATTTCTGTATTTTTCCACCATGGCTCTAGGTTATAATTGTATAATTTAATTTTTCACGTCAGCTGACAAGTGACCGATTACTGGCTGCGTTCAGAATCGGATCCATCGAATCTATCGATTCCACTCTGGACTATGCCACAAAAAAAAAACAAAATTTTCAATCATAGATTCTGTTTTCATGCTATTTACAATATTATAAAAACACTTGCCGCCAAGATAAATAATTTAATTAAATAAAACATACCTTGTTATAATTTTCAAACCAGTTTTTTTTGGTCAATATTTCGCCATTGTTTAATAGCTTCATCAGGAGCGAACTAAAAGATTTTTAAATGAAACAATACACTAATAAAATAATTTAAAATAACTACTTACAGGATTTGAGTCAATCGAATAAATTTTATTAATTTATTCAATACGTTTACGTATTGTGTGGGTATTTTTTTTATATTTCAACAGGTCAGTAATATATTATTGATATGATTTATAAATTGGATGACATGTGTTCACTATATTCAAAGTTGGCCTTGGTGTTATAATTTTATTCAAATTTTAAGTACTCACGTCGAATTCAGTTGATGTAGATATTACAATGAATACTCGAGCAAGTAAGCTATTTTTTTGGAAGGTGAGATCTAGTTTATTACAAATTGAGTTTATGTATTTTTTTTAAGTTATAAGTTTTGATTTAGAGTTATTATACAAGTAAATGTTTTCTGGTTATAAAGTATCTTGCGATAATTAAAAATAAGTCGGCAATGCTTTATACGTACTGTAGGTACTTACATTTGGTGTTTTTTTCAGTAACTTACGTGGATGTTTTTTAACAATATGAAAAAATTCCAAAGAAAATGTCCGATGTCGATTTTGATTTATATTTTCACTCCGATCGAATTAATTATTTGAACTACTAATAGAATAAATAGAATATTTTTTTTTAATTCCAAAGCATAAAAACAAACGCAGAATAAGGAATGAAATAAAATTGATTTATTGATAAAAGTAGCAACCAAATAAAGAGGAAAAAAATACAAAATTCTGAAATATAAAACAAACATTTAACTATTTAGCCTAATAAATACACGGTAATCATTACGCATGTGGCCAAGGTTTAAGGTGCTATACTCTTCTAAATTTTTAGACAAAAAGTTCATATAAACGTATGTCCAAAACAGCTATATTTTCAAAATATAGGGTATAAAAAATACGAAAAAAATATTTTTTTCTTAAATAACTAGAAAACGAAAAATAGTGTCCAGTTGAAACTTTAAACTACTTAATTATTTTCATCTTCTAGCTATTACGGAAAAACATGTTTTTTTGTATTTTTCAACGTCCCATATTTTGAAAATAAAGTCGTTTATGAGCTATGTTTGTACGAACGTTTTGTCTTAAAATTGAGTAAGGAATAGCACCTTAAAGTTTGGCCATATTCTTTACATCACCCTGTATATACTGTTAGTGACGGTATATATTTTGAACAAAAACTTTAATTTGTGGCCATGTTTTATTAGCAAAAATATTTGGATTTTCAGATTTTAGTTTCTCATATTCCATTTTTTTAGGAGGAATTTTATTTTTAATGTGATCCACAAAAATTTTTTTTCAATTTCTTCTGGTCTGTTGTCCACGGAACCAAAGTACGACCTTTCTTTTTAGGGGCGGATACATCTGTAGGGACGTTGTCGTTATTAGTATAAGTTGGAATCACATCAATTTCGCATTCTGATTCTGATTCACTTATTTCGTCTTCTTCTACTCTTTCTTCTTCAATATTCAACTCGATTTGGTCTAAAGTTTTTCCTTTGAATGCAGCTGCTTCTCCCTTCTCCATTAACATTAACAATTTGGAGATTTTTGCCGTTTGATATATGTCATCAGGCAATCTATAAACCTGTTTATGTACATCATTAGTATGCCCCATGAAAGTGGCTAACTGTTCTATATCATTTGGTGACATGTTAAAGATTTGAGTTAAAGTCGCTAGATGTTTTCGCAATCTTGTTGATGTGATTGCGGCAGAATTCTTCACACCACTCAATCTTACATGTTTTTCCATAATTTTATATCCGGTTATAGGATTTTTCGTTCCAAGTTTCGGAAATAGGAATGTATTTGAATCTTCCACAAATTGTTTTCTTAGATCCGTCAAAACGGAAGTATGTTTCTGTAAGTCTGTACTACTTTCCACGTTTTCCACGAATTACGACTCTTTTAAATGTACGTAATAATATTTGTTCAGTAGTTGTAATTGCTTGAGAAAATTCTTCGTACGTCTGATGAGTTTCTGCTTGTAAATATACGTGAAGTGGCATTCTCTCCAATTCACCTACTCTTTTACGATTAAGTAATATTAAACGGCAAAAAGTCTCCATTAATAACTTATAATCCTTAAGGCTATTTCCGTTGCTTTGCAAATTTTTAATCGCTTAGTCTGCTTTATTTAATAAATATTCTCTTAACAACTTTAGATCACTTGCGAGTGGTAGAATAGTCAGCTTGTTCCACTTCTTCACGTTTAAATCTGCAGCAGCAACTGTGGATATCTCAAATTTCCAAGCATCCTCTAATAATTGTTTAAATGTTTTAAAATTTGATTCTGCTTCCGCTGTAGATACCGGTAATTGGTTAAATTTTCGTTTCAAAGTAACTAAAATGGCAATGTCACAGCATTGTTTTAAGGACGTCTGAATATTCATTGCGTAAGTGGGTGAAGCAAAAATTTCTTTGACTTCATCGTATCCAGACACTTTTTTAGTATACCTTTTACAAATAAATCGAAATAGACGGGCTGAAGTGCTCCGTATAAATTTTTTATCGATGGTTGCATAGCTTGAACTTCTATTAGTAATTTAGAAATTTCTCTCATTTTCCTGGAGCATACATTAATCAAGTGTTTTTCCCTATGAGTCTTTAAATAGCGCGCTCCAAATTTACAAATTAATAGATCTTTCTTAGCTACCAAAGAAATGTTGTCAGCTTTCATGCGAGGGAATACAGTTTCTCTTAGTTGTGGATCAATTGGCAAACATTTAACTAACAAATCTTGTGCATCTGTTTGGTGAGAATATATTGTCTTTTGATTATCTGTGGATTTGCATTTCTTGACATGGCGCCAAAGTTGAGAAGGACGCTAGTAACCTAGGCAATATTTACACGGAATGTATTCTGAATTATCTTTATCAACAATATGTGACCGTTTGACAGGCTTAACACATTATCAACATTTTTTATGTGATTGCCCCTTTTTCTTACGGAAGCTATGAGATTTCTTCTCGTTAGGGATTTAGAAGGCAGAGAAAGAATCTTTTGGACTTCTATTTCACTTCTGTGACTGTTTGTGATGTGTCTAGCAAAGTTTAATACATCGCTCTCACAGAAAAAGCAAAAATCCGGAATTCTGACAACTTTCTTCCATTTTCTCTTTCTAGGCTGATTCTTAATTGAACTGGAGGTTTCAGGTGCAATATTCTCCTTTAAAGGTAATTCGTTATTACAATCATCTGCCAGTTTTTCTGAGCATACTAGTATGTTATCTGAAGCCGGTATGATTGGAGAACTAGTTTTTTTTTCTGTCTGCATGCTACTAAAGAGCGTATCAAAATTATTATCAGAGTCTGAATTGGATGTGTCAGGAATATATTCTGAACATTCTGGACTAAAAGGCTCACTAAGGTCACTGTGGCATTAGGGTGTCCGTTATTTACCAAGTTGGCTATTTTCACTTGGGTATAGTCAAAATCGTTTCTTTTTGACCTAAAAACAATTCTAAAAACAAGAAATAATTTTTATAATGCCGTCTAACCCTGCCTAAATGACGATACTTTTCCCATTTAATTAACATGGGGTTTTTGCACCTTTTAGCAAATAATTTTTATTTCGCTTATTATACTCTTCAACTTACCAAAAATGCTTGATTCTGCTTCTATTATCATCCCTTTAGATGGAAAAATTTTCATATTGGTGCATAAAAATTTATTATCTAAGTTTTGAAAAGGTAAAAATTTATTTTTATTGATTTTTTTATTTATTTTGTTTAATCTACTTAATAATGAATTTTTATTTTGAATTTCGTGAAAAATCTTTTATTTTAAACTCTCAATAATTCTACAAGCTATAAATGTAAATTTTAACACACAAATTACTATTGATTTTATTTTAATATATACGCTTATCACTGAGTTTTTAACTTTTTTGTCAAACATTCTTTAGTAGCATTTGGAAATTCATTTTCATATTCTTTTATCACCTGGAGAAGATACTGTTTTTGATTTTCATCTTTAGCTAATCCATTTATGTATTCTTGAGTCAGTTGTACAGCTCTCTCTGCTACATCATTAACAACTTTAATATTTTTAGCAATTTCTAATCCTCTCAAATAGTCAATATTTTCATTCCACGTCTGTACTTCAAGTTCCAAAAAGCTTGTATTAATATTAAATCTCTTAAAGAAGTTCAAAGTATTACAATTTACAAAGTAATCAATTTCTTTAGTTTGTAAATTTTTTATATCATTATCATTGTTTATAAAATACTTTTTGGGACAACCAAATTCATAAGCCGTATCCAAACAACGCTTTGACCATTTTGCGTTTGATGTGGTGTGATACATTTTCATCAAAAAATGAGAATGCCACCACTTCTGGGCTCAGATACCATAAATGGTTTTTAATTTTTTTTAAGACAGCTTCAGATAAACATTTATCGATAGTTTTATAGGCATAAACTGCTTTCAAAAATTGTAAATCTTGGTTCGGAGCTACTACAGCTAGTGGTGCTGTATACCAAAATCTCACGTATATAAATACCACGAATAAACATAAGTCCAATAAACTTTTTTCCTCTTCTTGTGATAGTTCAAAAGCATCTCGAAAAATGTAAATTTTCAATGAGTAAATGGCTTTCGACATCCAGCGAGCGTGATGGAAAGCTCCAGGTTTATAAAAATTAACATTGTGACGGTCGACTGTACCAAGAAATATTCGGGACAATTCAAGAAGCTCTTTGTAATCGTCGCGGGGTAAAACCGTATCTAATAAATTTTTGATGTTTAGGTCTATTTCGTCAACTTGATTGATAATTTTTTTGTGGATTTTATTTCCATCTAATCCATCTTTGAATTTCTTTTTGTCTATTGCATTCCAGCAACTCTGAAACTTTTTGAACAAAGGGACGTTTGGTCCAGTAGTACCTGGTAATTTTAATGTAAAAACACTTGTCAGAGTTAACTCATATATGTGATGTCGGCACGGTAGCCACAATAAATCCGTTTCTAGCATTTGTTCTAGTAATACTGCAGCTCCGTTATTGCAACCTAGATTAGACGCAGTTGTATCGCAACACAGTGCCTTGATAGATTCTGTTAAGCTCAAGTTATTAAGAACACTATAAATTTCTTCAGCTAGAGTTTTTCCCTTTCCATCAGGTAAACCAGGTACGCTCAAAAGTTTTTCAACCCCATTATTACTAATTAATATAGGTACCCGATCAACTTGCTTACACGAAACCGTATCTGGTATGAGTTTGCCATCCCAATGAAGAACAGCGGCAGTAAGCTGGACGTCACCAAATAATTTTTGAATTTTTAAAGCTTTTTGCTCTCGAATTTTTTTTCGCTGTTCATTAAAAGATGTTTTGTTCAAAATTAAATTATTGGTATCAAATTCTAAAGCTTCAGCTATTGCAGATATAATAGGGACAGAATTTCTATAGGACACTATACAATTATCCAGTGTAGCGACAACGTTCTCTGTCATAATATTAATAGTTCCTCTTTCATTCTTTCGATCATAATATCTTCCACCTGGTTCAAATTCTGATCTTTGACTTGGTGATGGTGGTAAAGACAAAGTTAGCGCTTCTCCACTAGACATCGCTTCACTTGTGCTTGTCAAACTCAACAGCAAATAGTTATCTGAAAAAAAAATAAATCATCTTTTATTGTTAGATTAGTGCACTCAATAGATTATTCAAGGTAATGATTGAGTTCAAGTCTAATACCTGAATTTTCTCTTGATAAATCAGCATCATTTGACTGGTATTCTCTGCTACAAGATGCTGTTTTAATGTTTTCAGAGGTTAACACTTCAATGGAGTGATTATCATTAACAACAAGTGGATTATCAGAGGTTAATACTTCAAAAGGGCGATTGTCAACTTGTTTCTCTGAAATAGAATGTATATTGAATATTTAGTCACATAAAAAAGTAAATTCAAATATTTTATAGACGGCTTATTTATTAATTACTTAATATTATATTGGTATTACCAAATAACTCGATTTCATTTCCTTGTTGATTGGCCGAAAAATTCAGATTAAATTTTCTTTCTGATCGCTGATCAATTAAAAACTTTTTACTATTATTGCTGACCATTTTTAGAACTCTGCTGTGAGCTATATCAAATAACATTTCTAATTTGATTGAAAACTCTTGTTCTTTTTTTTGATTTGATAGCACACCAGCATTTTTATGCACGTTTTTGTATTCTCCATGTAATTTTTCTAACTTTTGAATACATCGTTTATCTAATGTAAAAACACCAGCAAATATCCAAAATTTCTTAACTTTTTCAATAGTTATTTTACATCCGTCATACACTGTTGTTTTCATGTTTTTGGTGTAATAAAAAAGTAACTTTAAAACTTGTTTGTTAGTAGGTAATTTATTACCATGTATGTCATCCGTAAGACTAACCAATAGAAGCATCGGCTTCCGTAAATTTTTATCTAAACTCATGATAAAGGTTTTGAATTTTCAATGGGTTAGAGCTTTTGAGGTTAGAGAGATATTTGTTGAGAAAGATATATCGATCAATTCTTTTGACTTTCAATTCATTGCACTAGTGACTTCAGCTTAACCATTATAAATTTAATATTGTAACATGAATTAAAAAGTGTAGCGTTTAATATCCAGAAATTAAATATTACTGTCAAAAGAACTATAACAACCAGAAGAGGTATTAAGTAACAATGAGTTTATTGTGTTTTATTTTCTTTAACGACTGTCCGCTAGAGGGACACGTGTCCAATATATCTGATTTTTTTTATGTTTTTGTGTTGGTAATAACCGTATTACCGTACTTAATGTGAAATATGATATCTTCATAGGATTTCTGTGTGACTTTTGGGTAATTTATAGATTGAAATCATTGTTAAGGTCAAATCACAAGCATAAAATAAAAGATTTTCATGAAATTCAAAATAAAAATTCATTATTAAGTAGATTAAACAAAATAAATAAAAAAAAAATAAAAATAAATTTTTACCTTTTCAAAACTTAGATAATAAATTTTTATGTACCAATATGAAAATTTTTCCATCTAAAGGGATGATAATAGAAGCATTTTTGGTAAGTTGAAGAGTATAATAAGCGAAATAAAAATTATTTGCTAAAAGGTGCAAAAACCCCATGTTAATTAAATGGGAAAAGTATCGTCATTTAGGCAGGGTTAAACGGCATTATAAAAATTATTTCTTGTTTTTAGAATTGTTTTTAGGTCAAAAAGAAACGATTTTGACTATATCCAAGTGAAAATAGCCAACTTGGTAAATAACGAAAAAAAAAAAACATCAGGCTCATGCGAAAATAACTTGTTAAAATTAAAAATATTTTTTTCTGAATGATAAATTTTATTATCATATTTTATGATTTCGCGGTAAAAAAATAAGAGCTGACGCACAGCTAGATGTATAAGGTATACAAAATATAGAATGTCCAAAATACCTATAGCGAAATTTATCAGCTTTTAGGCTAAAGGTTGAACACTAAATCCAGAAGATCAAATGTTTAATAGTTATTTTAAGGACTTACTTAAGTTGTCCTGTGATGATATTTCTTCATTTATTGTATTTGTAGATAAGTTATTGACGTTACGAGTCATTTCATGAAGGTTGATTTCCTCAATCGCTAATCCATTTGTCGGCAAAGGCTGCAGAATTTGAATTTCAACTTTAGAATTTTGGGAGAATCTATCAATTGCTATAAACAATAATTTCATGCCACAATACTTATTTATGTTTGATGGGAAATGAACTAAATATTTTTGAAACAGAACACAATTTACAAACCTAACATCTGCTCGCTAGAAGATGTTGCTTTTGTGGATTCATATTTTGGTGTACGCCATTCATCTTGGAGCATACATTAAATTTTCTGGCCTCTACTCATATTCACCCTGAACAAAAAAAGAATCGTTTGAAACACAAACTATGTCCAAATTTTCACCTTAAGCTTATCCTTCATGCAAAATTTATAAGTGTACTTTTCTTTTAAACCTTATTAACAAATATACAGGGTGTTGAACTTTATTAAAAAATATGGTTTTTGTTTAATAACTTCCGAACCACTAAATAGTTTTTAATGAAGGACTCTGCGATTTTTAATAGGAAATTTATTTTTGATTAAATTATCTAAATTTCAAGTATGTCATAGATTTTGACCTCACTATCAAAAGTGTCCATGGGCCCAGCTTCCCCAATTTCCCCCAATTTCCCCAAATTTTCCCAAATGTCCCCCTATTTTTCCAAATTTCTCCAATTTCCCAAATTTTCCCCGTTTCCCCAAATTTTCCCAAAATTTCCCAAAATTTCCCAAATTTTCCCAAATTTCCCAAGTTTCTCCAATTTCCCCCAATTTCCCCAAATTTTTCCCAATTTTCCCAAATTTTTCCCCAATTTCCCCGATTTATTTCAATTTTCCCAATTTTTCCCAATTTCCCCCCCAGCAAAATCCCTATCTCCTCCAAGCCTGCCGTAAAGAACTTCGTTCCAATAATTTGTAAAGAATATGTTTCCACAATCTCACAATTCGTCGACTTGTGAGCAAATAGTTCAAAATATAACGAAAATTTAAGAATGCTACATAGTAATTCAAAATAATCACTCATTACTGATAGTGGAGCACCAATTTATTTAAAATATCTTCCAACTTATACACTATTTTTACGCCATGGTAATTTTTGTAATAAAAAAATATTTTTAATTTGAATACTTATTATTAAAATAAAATGTATTTTAAATTTTATAAGAAAACATTTGGTGGTTCAGAATGTTATAAAATAAAGAACATATTTTTTAATAAAGTTTAACACTAAATTTTTGATACCACGGCCATGAAAGAAAAAATACTACATTAAAAGCACATTTATTTTGCATTAAGAATAGGCATAGTATGTTCTTTGTGCATTAAATTTGGAAGCACCCTGTATTGAATGCACCCAGTATGGTCAAAAGTCGACTAAATAAATTTAAAGTAAATTGATTTATCAAATAGTTAATTGGTTATGAGAGTTTTAAATTATTGAATTGTATACATACCTGTTATGCGTCAAATGAAGCGAAAACAATCACGACAAATCGTAACTACTCTATCTTCCACAAAATGTCAAAGTCTACTAAGGAACAAGCTTACTTATTTCTCATCACCAAGTAAATCAACGGTGTTGCCGGGTATTGCCAGACTAACGTGACGCAGAATAATCGAGTGAATGAAAATAATCAATAGATCAAACGAACTTACCTTAAGTGAAGTTCGATCTTGATTATACGAAGCAACCAGCCCGAAGTATCACTTATAATCGGTAGTCAGTCTATCTGCACTTGTGTCCACAATTTTTAAAGAACTTCTCGCTGTATCTCCCACTTCCCTGCCCCGGCGCAGGGTCCACCTAATCGGCATTTTTTTTTAAAGAATAATGAATTTAATCGTAACCATATGGGGTTAAATAGGGGAAGGTGGGTGGTGATACTTCGGGCTGGTTGCTTCGTATAATCAAGATCGAACTTCACTTAAGGTAAGTTCGTTTGATCTATTGATTATACTCGCAACCAGCCCTCGTATCACTTATAATCGGTAGTTGTTTAAAGTAAGGTTACGGTTAAATGGTAGTAGGATTAAATAAAAGTAACTTTTTTATTTTAGAACAATACATAGAGTGATAAATTTAAGTAAGTTACTCTACTTTAAATTAAATTACTTTTACCATTAAAAAGTAGTAACAAAAATAATTAAGAACCCGAACTTAAAATAGTCTGAACATAGTCTTCAGTTGGCTGCAAGGGCCTGTCATAAAATTGTGAAAATACCTTGGATTTGTTGGACCAACCTATAGTTTTCTGAATATAGTCTATGTTGAGGCCTTTCCTTTTAGCTAGAGATGTGGATGCGTGTCTTACTGAGTGGGGTTTAAATATATCTACGTTTACCCCTGATAAATTCAAAGTTTCCTTAATCCAACGACTTAGTGTCTGTTTTGAGGCTACTGCAAATGGTTTCTTATAAGTTAAAAACAGAGATCCGTTCTTACTTGACCGAAGCGTTTCGGTTTGACGAAGATATAGTTTAAGAGTACTTGCGACGCAAAGATCTATATCTTCTTCGAAATATGGTATTTTAAGGTATGGCTGATTTTTACCCACACTCGAAGTTTTTATTCTATCTGAAATAAAAATGTGATATGCATCTGGAGATTCTACAATGTTTTCCAATTTAATTAGTGACAGGGTTTGAAGTCGTTGTCCTGTAGCCAAGGCAAGAAGGGTAAGTAACTTAAGTGAAATATTTTTTAAGTTCGAAGTATCAATAGTTTTTAAATACTGAAGAACTTGCGACGGGTCCCAAGTCACTGAATATCTTGGTACTGGCGGCTTGAGTTTTGAAACACCTTTCATAAATCTTTTCATTCTAGGATCTTCTCCAATGTTTTTGGATAAGAGCAACGATAACGCTGAACGATGGGAATTTAATGTACTGTATCCATATTGGTTATTTTCCATTAGTTCCTGTAAGAATTCGATGGCATCGCAAACTTGACCCTGAATCGGTTCTAACTGTTTTCGATGACAAAATTTCCACCAGAGTTTATAGGTTGAGTTATACTGATTGACAGTTGACTTCGCTAAAGAATTGATCACTGTGTTAATTGCACTTGGTGGATATTTTTTGTATAGGAAAGCTTCCCTGAGACTTTGTAGGCAGCCAGAGTAAGCGTGGCTGCTAGTGGGTGTACTTGCCTGGAAGCAGAAGATAATAAATTACGACTTGGCTCAAGGATGACTGGAGTATTCAATGATAATTTTAAAAGTAGTGGGTACCAAGGTTGACTTGGCCATTGTGGTACCACAACGATGCCCTCCGCTCGGTCTGTGATTACTTTTTGCAAAACCCTTGTTATAAGTGAGAATGGGGGGAAAGCATAGAACAAGCTACCACCCCAATTTGTGGTGAATGCGTCGACCGCAACTGAATTTGGATCTTTAAACCATGATACATATTTGGTGCACTTAAAATTATCTTTGGATGCAAATAGGTCTACTTTAGGAATGCCTAAATAATTTACAATTTTGGCAAAAGCATAAGGTGCTAAAGACCATTCAGTTTCTATAGGTAGACTTCGAGATTCCTGATCGGCTCTCCAATTATCTAGTGAACTAATATACGTAGCTAAAATCCAAATGTTTCTTTTTTCACACCACTGCCAAATAAGTCTTGCAAGAGAGTTAAGATATGGATACTTCACGCTTCCCATACGGTTAATGTAGGAAAGAGCTGTTGTGTTATCTGTCCGAATTAATAAATTACAGTTTCTATATGATTTGGCAAAATAATTAATACCATGATATATGGCTTTTAGCTCCAGATAATTAATATGACACTTTTTTTCATTCTTAGACCACCAACCATGTGCGTCTTTGTCCCCCGCGCATGCTCCCCAGCCGGTAAGGGATGCATCTGTGAATATAACAATTTTAAATTTGTCTTTTTTAATATCATTATATGTGGTGTCTATAATTTGTAACCACCAATTAAAATCTGCCAAAATTTTGTTATTGAGATACATTTTTGCTTCATAACTCTTGGCTCTTTTTAAAGCCAAGTACTTTTCCCTTTCTAAATTTTTTGTATAAAGCCATCCATATTTGACGGCAGGACACACGGACACTAGTACCCCAATAATTTCTGCAAATTTCTGAATTTTAAAATGTTTTTTAGAGTGGTATTTGGTGACAATATTTTTAATTCTTTCTCGTTTGTTCGATGGAAGATGAATTTTCATATTTTTGCTATCAAAAATAAATCCTAGAAATTTGCAGAACTTACTGGGTTTTAGGATGCTCTTTCCTTCATTAACAATAAAACCTAATGATCTCAAAAATTCAAGTGAAAACTGAACCTTATCAAAACAATCCTTAGCTGTTTCGCCAAAAATTAAGAAATCATCTAAGTAGTTCACACATGTGATATTGTTATTTCTAAGATAATGTACTACAGGTTTTAATAATTTTGTGTAAGTATAGGGAGCTGAAGCCAAGCCAAAGGGGAGGCAAGTAAATTCGTAAATTTTCCCATCAAATGAAAAACGCAAGAATTTTCTGTCCATTACATCAACGTTAATTAAAAAATAAGCATCTTTTAGGTCGATGGATGCCATATAACAATCTTGTTGGACTAGATTAGTTACAGTTTTAATGTTTTCCATTTTAAAATGACAAGTTCTTATGAATGTATTTAATGGTTTTAAGTTTAAAATAAATCTCTTGCCCCCACTTGACTTATCTGCTAAAAAATATCGAGATAGGAACTGTTGGTTGTTAGTACTATTTAGGCATTCGGTTATAGCTCCCTTGTGTAGGAGATCTTTAACAGATACTTTCATTTCTGCCCTTTCTTTTTCAGTAAATTTAGGTATAAGTGGGCGTCTCTGAAAAGGTGTTTTAGAAAATGGTAACTTGTAACCTTTAACCCAGTTCAGAATAATTTTGTTTGAGGTTAACTCTGACCACTTATCATAGAAATATTGTAACCTGCCTGATAACTTAGTACTTACCGGGTTTAATATCTCCTCCTTGTTTGTTTCGGGTTTCGCCCTTGATGTGGTCTCGTCTCCCGCTTTTGCTCCTTTGTGAACCGACGAGCCGGGCGATACCGGTTTAAATTTGGGGACGAGGAAGGTTGTGTGTTGCGCTCCCCCCCCTTTTTCT